AATTACTATTAATCAACTTAGAATCATGTTATGGAAGTTCTAGAGAATTTGATTCTGATTTGGGTGAATTTTAACTTAAGCTATACTTGAGGTATGGATAGGACACGATTACGATCTAACATTCGATCATCGTATGTCAAATTTCATTAATTACATTAAAATTATAAAAAAAATTATGATTAATTAACTTAGAATCATGTCATGGTAGTTCTAAAGAATTTAGTTTTGATTTGAGTAAATTTTAACTCCTGAGTTACAAATAGGATAGACTTAGGATCTAACATTATGATCATAGCCATGTCAAAATCCTATTAATTATACTAAAATCATATAAAATTTTAAAAATTAGTACTAATCAATTTAAAATCATGTCACAGTAGTTTTTGATAAATTTTGATCGATTCTATTTATTGTAACTCGAGTTATACTCGATCATAATTTCAGTTCAAGTCATAATTGTAACATTGCCTAGTAGTGGTGGTACTACTAGATAGACAGTTGTACCACTTACATCAATGCTCTATTGACCTGGTGGTGGTGCCCAGTAATGGTGATGCACATATATATTATGAGGTATATTGTGGAAGTATACGTATATGCTACGATATGTGATATGAGAGTATACATTTATATTATAACGTGTGGTCTAGGATTGCATGTATATGTTATGATATACAGTATATGAATATATATATATATATATATATATATATATATATATTATGACATGCGGTATGGATTATACGTATATATTACGATGACGTACGGTGTGAGAGTGCACGTATATATTATGATATGAGGTATAGAAGTTCATGAATATACTATAATTCCTACATGTGCATATATGCATTTTAAGTTATTTCAATATAGAATTTTATATCTTTATTGTGCATATGTTATGTGTTGGGAAACTTGGATAGAGTATCATATGTATAGCGGAAGAACAGAGAATAAAATATAAAATTTCCAAAGAAAAAAGTTCTTGTTATTAAAGGAGATTGGTGCACAAAATAAAATACAAAATCGAAACCGCATGTATAAAATGAGATTTGTTACTAAACGAGATTGTATATCCTTATAAAATCCTAAATATAAAGGAGTGGATGAAGGAGGTCAACTGTCCTCCTCTCTGGTAGTGATCCACATAGTAGATGCGGTGAAGACGCTCCTCAAATCACTGCCCGATCTTCCTCTCCACGTGCACCACATGATCAAGAAGGGGTCGGCCCTTCTTGCCGTCCACATGCCCTAAATTGGGGCTGTCGACTAAGAAGGGGAGGGAGGGAGGAGAATAGGAGGTGATAGCCAAAAATGGTCTAACCTATGCCCCTTTGGTTCCCTCCTATTTATAGAGAATCTGTTAACTTAACTCAAATGGATCATGCTCTATTGGGTATTGGATCTTCATCCAACTATCTAAGCCTCTTGGATTAGTGGATTTCTACCCAATAATCTCTCATTGACCCTTATTGGATTTTATCCACAAGATCCAATAATCCATGGGCTTACTGAATATCCAATAAGATATAGGCTCCAATAGATACCTATATTTGTCGCAACACCTACCATATGTATATGACCCTCTAGACCTAATATCGAGTTAGTCATGAGTCATACATATCAGAACTCCTTCTGACTCAGTGAATTATCATCTCCATAATAATTCACTTAACTCATTGATTATGGACGTATTAGGCCACTACGCCGCAGTCCCCAGATGATATAGGGGATTGGGCCGGAGTGAAGAATCAAATGTTGAGTCGGAATGAACATGTCAGAAGATTGGACATTGGGCTGGAGGATCGATCGACGTGTTGGTAGAAAGACTTCATGCCCTGTGTTCGGGCATTGGACCGAAGGATCGGACATTGCGTCAAGGAAATCAGATATTGCAGAAGGTCAACATGTCGATTGGGTAATACGCCAAAGGAGAGGACAATGCGCCGAAGGATTGGACGAAGTGTTAGATAAACCAATGACATGTCGGACAATATAGAATTCATACTTGTAATCATTTGTTTAGATCGAAGTAGTTTAGGGGGCTAATTGAGTTAGTTTTTGGTGTAATCATGCTAACTCGATTAGGAGTCAATTGAGCCTCAATTGGGATTATTTTGGGCCAAGAGGAAGGCTTATTCAGTGACCCAAAAGTTGGGTCAAGCGATGGCACCGCTTATAAGTTGGAAAAGTCAAAAGCCCAATCTCTGATGTTGTTAGGCGGTGGTACTGTCTAGTGTCAAACTGACAAGTGGTGGTATCGTCGGTACCCTGAAAACCCAGGATGAGACCATTTTGGCTCTAAATTTGAGTCCATTTGGGGTATATAAATACCCTACTCATCCCTACTCGGTTCACACAAGAACTGAGAACAAAAAACTTGAGAAAACGCTATTGTAATCTTGTGAGAATTCCCCTTCTATTCTCTAAGTTTAATTTCAATTTAAGGGGTTAGTGACTTGAAAATGAGAAAAGGGTTGTAAAAGGGTAGTTGATCTTCACCCGTAAAAGAAGATCGATAGTGGAAGTTGGTGGTCTCGATAGACGAGGAATCGAGAGTGGACGTAGGTCACGATGATCGAACCACTATAAATCTGGTGTGCCCTTTTCTCTTACTATTTACCTACATTGTTTTCTTATTTAACTATCTACTACTTTTGCTTGCACTTTTATGAACGTTTTTAAGTTTAAATTCATTTCTGTTACGGGCTTTATCGAATGAAAATTTTTAAATCGATGATTTTGACCAAAAGCACTAATTCATCCCCTCTCTTAGTATCGATTTCGATCCTAACAGTTGGTATCGGAGTCATATTACCCTCAGTTGATTTAACACCCAAGAGAATGGCTTTTACCGACAATATAGAGGGTCACTCTATCACTCGTCCTCTTATGTTCAATGAGACGAACTACACGTATTGAAAAACACGAATGAAAGTTTTTTTGCTTTCTCTGAACTTTGATTTATGATATATTATCGAATATGGTTTTCAACAACCTTTTAAACCTATGAACGAATGGAATGATTTTGAGAAAAAAATCGTTTCCTTTAAATGCTAAAGTTATGAATTTTTTTTTTTGTGCTTTAGATAAAAATGAGTTTAATCGTATTTCGATATGCGAAAATGTACATGATATTTGAAACTAAGTGAAACCATTATCTCACATATACACCTATTTTACATATATCGTTAACGATTTAATAACATTTAGTAAAAGTTTTGAACTTGTAAATAAAATACTAAAATTCTTTCCAAAAAGTTAGGATCCTAAAGTGATGGTAATATAAGAAGTAAAGGACTTGAACAATTTTGCTTTTGAAGAACTGATCGAATCTTTAATGACCTATGAAATGATTTGTATGACATATGACGAACACGAGAACAACCTTCCAAACAAGAAGGATTTGATACTTAAAACCAAAGAAGACCACTTGAGAGAAAACTCAAGTGATGATGATGATGATGATGATGATGATGATGATGACCTTAAACTCCTCACAATAAAATTTAAGAATCTAAGAATAAAAATAAACTTAAAAATGATAAAATAACTTGCTATGAAACCAATTGGCCAGAGTATGCAACTCTTACCAATCACAACTCTTTGTGATTCTCGTCCTGTTTGACCTCCGAACCACCATGGCCTTAAGGGACTCGACCAACCATGATGTTTGATTAAGTCATTACCATTATTAAGATGAGTTCGATTTGATGATATGCTTGTAGGGAAATCTAGGGGCGATATCACATGCGCAACAGAATAACATAAAATAAAAAGTCTAAATTTTCCAAAAAGGCATTCGTCGTCGTACGAAGATTGGTGCGTAAAACTCGCGAAACTGAAAACTACGTGTGAGATAATTGTGTTACCTAGGGAGATCATATATCCCTGAATTCCTACATATATGTGAGAGATGATGAAAGAGATTAAGTGTCATCTTCTCTAGCGGTAATTTAAATGGCAGGGACTACGAAGACACTCCTCAACTCGTTGCTCAAATCTTTAAACCTACTATATGAGGAGAAGAAGGGGAGAGGAGAATAGGAGGTGGCAACTAAGAAGTATATGACCTATGGATCTTTGGTTCTCTCCTATTTATAGAGACCCTCTATCTACTTAACCCTAATGGATTTTACCTTATTGGGTTTGGATCTTCATCCAATTATCCAAGCATCTTAGATTAGTGAATCTCTATCCAATAATCTCTCAATGACTCCTATTAGATATCATCCATAAGATCCAATAATTTATGGGCTAGTATCGAAGCCCGGCACTTACCAACCAAGTTCATACCCAACCAACCATTCCATTCCTGGTCATAGAACACATAGTAAATGACTATCGAGAACCTGCAGCTGCAATTCGAGTGGTTCCGATTAGAATCATCAATTTTTTTTATTTATTTATTAATTAAAAATAATATTAAATAAAAAATTATAAATTTATTTTAAAAATAAAATTAAAAAAATAAAATCAAAGTAATCGAGGATTTGAACCGAAATCGCAAGTTCTATAACTGACGATTTCGATTTTTCAAATCTAAGAACTAAAATCAAACCATTCGATTCGGAACCGATGAACCATCGGATCAATTCAGTCCCACTTTTTCGAGTTCGATTCTGGTTCCAATCGAACTGCTGTCCACCTATCCATAATAAACCTTTGCTGGCAAATCATGGGTTAGCAATAACCCAAAAGATTTAGCCGTGAAGAAAGGATTCGATATATAAGCTTGGGAAGCACAAATCCACGTCGGCCCCGTGACTCAGCCACCTAAACAACTTGATTAAAAGAAATCCAGCTTGATATGAAACCAAAGCCTCACACTTTCCTGATGGAAGAGCCAAAGTACAAAGGAAACTAAGCATGCTTGAAACAGAGGTATTCCTCAGAAGGAATTATAACTTTTGTAAGACTCACTCTATGGATACTAAACATTTGAGGCAGAAACATGTAAGAAGCAATATGGAACTCTTAGATTTCGGTGACCAAGAACAGCAGAAAAACAAAATAAGTTGTGCTATGATCAGATAAACGAGTTGAAAATCTTTCATTTTACAGGGGACAGCTATTTGCTAATCCCCATCATAGGAATTAGACTTCAGAATTTACTAGTAGTTTCAACCAGTCAGGAAGAACATCCATCTTCCAAAGTTTCAACACAAGGTCTGAATTACACCTTAATAGACAGTCCGACGAGACCATCGAGTGAATAAGAAGTATTTTAGTTCACATGTTCTTTCTTGACGTGTTGGATAAACCAGTTCAGCATGTCCTGATGTGCCTCTTGAGCGCGCTTAACAGCTGCAGCATCATCGGCTTTGTGTCTGACAGTCCATCCATGAGCAACCCCAGGAAATATCTTTACAATGTGTCTTTCCTGACAAATCATGTGGCCCAAAATCATATTGGATCACAGAATGTTAGGATATATTTTGAGGGGTCCATATAGCAGATTAATCAAATAGTTAAGCTAGCATTATTTGATATTACATTTAAGATGCATGTTCTGTAATTTAGAGTCCAACAACATGACTAAATTGACCTGAAAATGCTGCCATAGGTGACTTACCTCAGATGTTGAAGATAAAGCCTGCTCAAACTGCTTCAACAGTTCAGGCGGAGAAATATGGTCATTCTCAGCCCCAAGTATTGATATAGGACATTTAACACCTGGTAAATGGTGAAAACAGATAGTCTCAACTCTCAACAATAAAAACATGTTAAGAAAGCATGAGTTTGACCAATTCTTAAAGGAGGGAATACCCTTCATATCATCAACATTTACAAAAGAAGGATGGCAAAGGACAGCAGCTTCAATCTCACTGGACTTTGCTAATTCCAAGACAACTTTGCCTGAGATACAAGAAGTTGAATTTCAGTCAATAACATAAGTTATTCATGTGTTTAAGGCTAAATAAACACACACACACACACACACACACACATATATAAAATTAAATTTGGAGGGGTGAAAGCAAAAGTAAAAGTTATTTTGGATGGACCTGTACGTGAAACTTACCGATTTATATTTTACTTTTTTTGCAAAAGTATCAAAACATGATTCATGCTCAACATCGAACTTATGGTTTTAAGAACACCAATGTATCTCACATAGGCACAAATGCGTGATCTTTGGCTAAAGACATGGCACATTTGAGGCCCATGGAACAAAGCTATCTTCACATCAAACAGTGTGTGTGCATGGGATATGTAGATTGCATTTGGCCCATGGACACAGAGTCTGCTTGGTTTTTGCTCCAAGGA